CACACACACACACACACATATATATAATTATATATATATATATATATATATATATATATATATATATATAGATATATATAAATATAAACACACACACAATATAAATAATAAATATAAATATATATATATATATATATATATATATATATATATATATATACACATGAACAATACGTTGAACTGGTAAATGTGCAACAGTATTTTGCACGCATATCCGACAATCGCTGCACCTGGACCGGACTTACACACGACACCCTACCTGTGACTCATACAAGGTCCTCGCTTGATCTATGGTTGAAAGAGGCACATCAGCTGCACACACGTTCCACGCGTTGAGTCTCTCACACAGTGTATACCCATCAGCGGCTGTGCAGATACTACGTTTGTGTCCCTCTGTCAAAACTGAGAGAGGTTACCGAGATAAAGGCAAACGAATGAGATGTCAATATATCAGAACATATACCTGTATGGATCAATTTCTTGAAGACAAAGCGATGAAAGATTCGTGTACGCTTGTTTTCTGCTAGGTTGTACTCGTAGACAATATTGCACGTCAGAGTGCGAGGCATTAAGTGAGAGAGAGACTTAAGTAAGATCTTGTCAACTTATCTTGCATCGATAGGGAGTCGACGCGTGTAAGAATTTAACCAAAATTTCTATTTCGAAGCGAGTGAAAGACGTTTCAAGAAAGGCATGTCATAACGGAATACCTTCTGCTGTCTGCTGCGGATTAGACATAGCTACCAGGCAACGTTCTATGCTACTCGGGGAAGCAACTGCGACGATTTCACAAACTACGCGCCGTGCATTTTTACAATACTGACATATATTTCTGATATTCTCAAATCAATCTCGATTTTTTTATTAAAGACCGATATAAAGCCCAAATTATATTTCACCACATGGATTGTAAGATCGTATTGTACTGGACATACTGTCATCAGTGGCCGGCATACAAGTGAAGCCACAATGGCTGGTGCAACAAGTCAATACAAGGCAATGAAAGTAGCCAAGCGAACACCGAAACTGCATTTTGGAACAGCAGTACATTTAGTGTCTTAGGTCTCTTAATTTAGCCCTTTTTAAATATAGACGGTAAAAAAAGTTATAGTTTTATGTATGAATTTATTTTACTGAGCGAAAAGCTTGCCTCGCTCATATATCAACCTTCGACTTAGAACAACATTGCAATCAGAGCATCATGGGTGGTTCCCGTGTTTGGGGTGAGGAATACGACTAGCTGCTGAGGCAGATGTACAGCGCTGGTGAATTACCTCCCAACTACTCTCATCAGAGAAAGTTCACTTCGTTCCAGGAGCCGTGTGAAGCTCACGTACCTCCACTCCCGCCAATCAAGCATTCGGCCTGCTTTGCCTACCACTATAAAAAGATTACTACTGAGTTCATGGTATATTTGTTTAATATATTTTGAAGTGGCTGTGCAACCGACAAATTCACAGATCGTTGCCTGGATTCAGTGCGATTCAATGTAGTGTGAATAATATGTTTTTACAACTCAGACAGAGACAAAGTTAATCCATGAACTACCCGAATCCCAAAGTCCACTCTTCTGTAGAACATTCTTCCCTCTGAAGACGTTGCTACTTATTTTATTTGCATCTATTGCTAACAACGCAAACGATAAACGAATTCCAGACAGGACTACAGGGAACCAGGACGGTGGGAATATCATACTGAAACGGGATTTGTCGATTCCGCGCATTCGAGCCCATCAGTACGAGTAGAAAAAAATGCACGAGCTGCAAGAGACCTCGACCATGCATGCACCGCAAGCCATAAAAGAGGCGCATGAGGTTTCCACAAATCCGAATTACAACTCAGTGGAGCGCTCATCTGTGGCATCGGTACGTCCAACACAGTCTACTCATGATCAGGCAAGAGAACTCTCAGACTCTATTTTTAACTTCCAGGTTGAGTTGTCCGGCTTGCTGTTCCTCGTACATTTCCTATGGTCTCTCACGTTTGATCAAGAGCAGACACAGATATCAGAAACGTGGAACAGCAGGGTTCTCCTTCTTCACAACTGTCGCAATCTCGCAGCCGTATACTAAAATCAGCATCTAGACGAGCACACTTTGCCGATTCTAATTTTCGGCTCGTTAAATACGATATACTCTCAGACCATGCGATCACAACTTATCATTTGGCCAAGGTCCAAATTATCTTCAGGACACTTAAAAAATATTAAACGTCCCAGTGCAGATGGAGCAGCTTACAACGACAAAGGTCAAGACCAGCAGCTGACAACCAATTGTACGATGAACCACTCTTGAATGCCAATTTGTTTGCCGATATGGGCGTGGATACGATGAATGTTAAATACTTGGAGAATTCAATGCGGGTGTATCTTGAGAATCAGACGAAATTTTCTGACTGTAGCGCTGACGAGTGTGAGAAAGGTCCGAGCGAGAACGAATACAAGTACATTCTGCCGGGAAAGGTGGTGCCACACTCGTTTCGAGCTCGCCTACACACACTTAATGGCATAGGTCGACTGTATGTCGTGATGGAGAAGTCTGAAGAATTGCAGGAGACAACGGTCCAAAAGTTGCGCATAGGTTTCGATTGATCAAATGTACACATATCATTTTGTGGTAATATCCAGAGGGCAATAAATCCAGTTCGGGCAGATACGGTTTGCAGAGCAACTGTGCGACAGCAATGGCTGAAAATACAAAACAATGCCCTGCTACTACCAGTTACACATCATGTCGATTTCGACAGAGCAATGGAAACTATAGTGCTACGATAGGTGTTGTGAGGTGTCTGTTTGCATTCTGGAGGAGCACAGACAGTTTATTATTGGTTGTTTTGGTTTTGGTCGAAACATAAAAAAGCCATCCTGCTTCAGAATAACTGATGCAAAAATCAACTCAACTATCATTGGTTGTTCCACATTTGGCGCGCTAGTTGGTTTCCTATTAAAAACGTATTCGTACGTTTACTATTTACGTACTAAATTAAATCCCATGGCCCGTGCCCCGTGAACACGATCCAAAAAGCAGATCGGCTGCAATAAACAGTTCCCGCCTCTCCATTCCATGATGTGTCACGCTCTCATCACTACTACATACCCTCTCTATATATATTTATATATTTATATATTTACATACAAATTTATACACATCGTTGATATATACTTACCGCAGGAACTGCTACGTTCGAAGCACCGGTACAATGCCCACTGTTAGCGTGAGTAAGGATGCCTTCCTCAAGGGCATCCAGCACGAGTCTATGACAGACGAGCAGGTTGACCATCTGCTATTCGATTTCGGTTTGGAATTGGACGAGGTGACGTCAGAGAAGATACAGATCGAGAAAGAGAAGGGAAAAGAGGCCGCTGCTGCATCTGGGGCCTCAGAGGAAGTACTATATAAGATTGATGTGCCTGCTAATCGGTATGGGGTGGTCACGTGTTTTCTGTGCGCGGACTCGATTTGCGGGTTCGCGGAAATAGTATAGGCGTATATCAAAATAGTCTACTACACCGTGTAGATAAGCTATGGCGCGAAGTAAATATGAGAGATTGTTCTGCCCAACTCTACTATAGATTTATCTCTACATTTTGGCAATCGGCGTTTTTTTTTGGCGTCCACTTGTGTGCCCGGCGGGTTATCGCAGCGAGGCAATATATATATATATATATATATATACAAATACACACACACACAATATATATATATATATATATCTATATATATATATATATATATATATATATATATATATATATATATATATATATATTTATATATATATACATACACACACACATACACACACACACGCACACACACACACACACACTCGCATATATATATATATATATATATATATATATATATATATGTGTGAGTGTGTTATATATATTTTATGTGTATATGTATACAAATATGCATGTTATATATGTATTTATATATATATATATTTATATATATCTAAATTT